TATATTATTAAACGTGCGATATCACAAATAATTGCTGTCAAATAATAATATTTTCCTATTTGTAGCATGCGTCCTAATGTTATAAAATCAATAAATATCGATACGTTGAAAAAGTCCATTCACTACGGTAACTGGACAAATATTTATAATTTAACAATTATCGATAGCATGAGAAATTTCGATAATACCATCAATTTTTATATTTCGATAACTATCGATAAATTTCAACAGCAAATTTCCCGTCTCTCTACAAATTTCGAAAGCTCAATAAACATTGACCAATTCGATTATTGCGATATATACCGATAACTAAGCAAACATGGACAACCCTATAAATTTCGATAACTATGAACTTAGATGCCATGATAAATTTCGATAGCTTAATAACTTTCGTAGCTAAATTTTTCTTGACTGGATATATGTATTTCGATTCTTATCGAATTTCAATAATGCACGTATGTGCTTTTCTCATTGTTTTGATTTTCGCCTTTATCTTCAATTTTACCTTAACTTTTTTATCTTCATCTTTTTTTATCATTTCCTTTTTGTTCTTCACATCAAAATCAAAATGTTAAAATGTTAAAACAATTCAAAGCGAACTGCTTGCAGCAACCATTACACCAAAATGCAGAAACTTTTAAATGGCGATTTGGGCCATAATTTTCAACTAATTTTTAAACCATAAACTCTTCTCAACTTCAGGAAAATACCTTTCTAATGGTGTTCTCGAAATCGGGCCAGTGTAATCGTTAATCGAATGCAGCCAAAACATCACAATTTCGCTTACTAATTCCTAGAGTGGAAGCACACAACACATTATCCAGGTATACGAGAAAATTGCATTCCAAAAGTTGGCAACCTTCATCTATAACAAATACTTCTTACTAGAAAAAACTTGCAAACTCGGGCAGATGAATGTATCTTTTTAATACCAGGGATACGGTATATTCAAAAAGCATGGTCTCACTCCGCCTTCTATTTTGGAACCAACGGTGTACAGATGATGTATCCAGGCAGAGATATCACTTTCCCCATCCCAGTCGGTTCTCGGCGGGAGAATGACCCCGAAAGATCTGTGAAATTCTACTTCAGGTCGTACGTAAATGGTCGCAATCGATAAATAACACTGCTATGCTTGACCGTTCTTACTTTCCATATGCCCAGTTCTCGATGCTTATAGCGACGGGGTTCTAGGGAAGAGAAAACAGAAATCTTCAGTATGTGTCAATCCATACAAAAAAGGAAGGCTAAAGGAATGAAGGGAGACCTTTTGGAAAAGCTTTTAGTTCTTGAAATTATACCGGGCAGTGTATTATAATTAAACAATCAAGTTAAAAAATTATGTCAGTCTCTTTTACGCCTGCAACAAGCACATGTGTACGTACAAATATAACAGCGTAAATATGTATTTAATAATATTGCTGATAAATTCCAGCTGTGGCAGCCATATGGTGACCGGCTTTCTAGTTCACATAAAATAAAATGAAAACTGAACTTAATGGAGAATCACCTCAGCAGTGTTGCGCAGCGTCGGAAC